AAATAACTTCAAGATAAAAATTTTTAACTGTACTAAACTAAAATAACGATTATACAGCTCGTTAGCTTATAATTTATATTGTCAATTTGTTTTAAGAACTTATTGTATGAAAGTGCGATTAATGTTAATATTAAACTTATCACTTATCAGTTTCATGATGAAATTATCTTCATCATTTCCAAGTAAATAAATATTGTAAATCAAAATTTCTTCAAGCAATATTATTTAATTATTGTAAACAATTATTTATTTTTAATAGATTTTATATATATTAGAAATTTTTCGTCGACAAATCTGTTTTTTTTAATGAAAGTATTAAATAATAATAGCAATAACAATAATGTAGTAGTGATTAACAATAAAATATTAATTTTATTAGTGATTCATAAAATTCTATCTTTTTTCATTGTTTTTACTTATCCTTTCAAGTCTTTTTTTAACAAAAAAATGGGAATAAAATAAATTTTTACTATTCACAAATCCCTCATATATCATTTAATCAAACTTTTGTTAAAATTTAAATTTTTTCGCTGATTATTACTAATTATCAGTGTTATCCTATAGTTAAAATCATTTGATAAAGATTTTGATGCAATTGCTCACAATAAGATTTTAGACGATTTGTCATTGAATTGCCATAATAAATTCGATATTTCGTGAAAAGCTGAATAAATAACTGCTTTTATGTTCTATTTGTCGTCGCTGAGCTATAAAGATGCAAATCTATCATAGCCCTCAAAAAAATAGTGGTTATGGGCAAGTTTTATTTATTTAAATAAAGGCTACATAGCACTTTCCAATAAAGGACAAATAAATAATTTTAGCAACGAAGGATTTTTTTCTTTTGACTATAATAAGTTACCAGTAAAAAATGGTGAAGGAACGTACTGGACGAATCTATCATTCTTAAAACCAATTAGTCATAATCATTTAAAATTATCTTGTAATGGTTGTAATGAATTCATTGCGTTTATATCAAAATAATAAATAAAAATTTTAATAAATTCTAATAAAAAATCCAATTAAAAACGAGTGAGAAAATCTAAAAATAAAATACAAATAATGAAGAGTAAATAAGGCATAATAAAATTAAAAAATGAAAAAAAATTTATTTAAGTGATTTCGGTTTGATTTTACCCTACAGCGACATACATCTTCCTATTTTTGCAAGATGAAATATTTAAAAGATTGATAAATTGATATTTTGTTGCTTGATAAATATTTAAAGTTTGATAATCGTATGGCTGACATGTAATTTTTGTTCACTAGTATTATATCTTTCAGTTCTATTAATAAATATCAAAATCCTCATATGGAATACAGTATATTTGATGACATTTATCTCTAGTATCGACGTTATAGAAATTCCGACATATAAATGCCAGCATTTATTTTAATAAACGATTTTAACCTATATTTGCATTCTTAAAGAAATCGGCGATGGTGTGATTTTAAAATAATTGTCTTTTATTATCATGAGCCATTTATCAGTTATCAATTCATCAAAAACACTTCAAAAAACTTTAAAAAGTAAAAACAAATTGTTCAGGGAGTTTTAATTATTTAATATTCATCATCAAAAAGTAATAAAAATAATAAATAATAAAAATTAAAAAAATTAAAAAAATAATAAAAAATCTAAAATTTTTATTATATGGCCGCATACTAGTAATTAAACTAAAATTTGAGGGATATAGCGGAGGAATATTTTGAAGCGTGCATAAGAATCTTTATAAAATTCATTGATTAACTGGAAAGAAATTTAATCAAATCTTTCCATTATATTTTATTATTATATCTTTTTTTATCATTTCTATTTCTATAAAATATTCGACAATTTATATAAAAACATTTGCAACCACATGAATAGGGCCAAATATTTTTTACGATCGATTTTCTAATTATTCTTTGTATTTGCGATTCTTTAATTTTAAATTTAAATTTTATATTTATATTCAATTTTATATTTATTATTATATTTTATTTATTTATTTATATTTTACTTTATATTTGTTATTATATTAAATTTCTACGAATCATTAGAAATATTTAATATTTTTAATAAGTTGAACAATTTTATTATTTCATTTCGTTGACTGACAGCTGTTTAAAACTATTTTCAATTATTTTTTAAAATGATTTTAATCAATAATATTGGTTTAAAAAAAATTTTTATAATTTTCTAGAATACAATTTAATTGGATAAAATATATTTTGAGCCGAAAGTATAAAAAAATAATTCATTATTTTACCTTATGATGCATTTCACTTTTGGCTCATATGGCCTATTCCGCTTAATTGGTCTTTCTATTTTCTTGATTAAAATATCATCAAAATAATAACGCAAATAATTTATATTTATATTTGTTCTCCATATTAAATAATTTTAACGAATTAAACAGTCTAGCAGATGTTTTTTATTTCGCAAAAATATCGCATTTCAGTCATTATTTATTTGATCATTCTGGCGATTCGTCTGACTCGATTCTTCAACTTAAAATAGCCCTTATTTGTGGTTTTGCTTGATAAATTATCTTGTGCATGCAAAGTTCGAATTATCTATGGAAAATAACATAGGTTTTTGATGAAATTTTAAAAATTAAATATTATTTATATTAATTAAATATATTAGATAAAATTAAGAATTCAGTTTTGCAGTATTCTGCCATAGGCATTTTTAAATTTAATGCTTTCCCAATAATTTGCCACAGAAGGCGAATTTAGAATTGAATCAAAATTAAAACAACTTGTGCAGAATCTTCAATTTGGATTAGACCTTTATTAGACCTTTATTTGAAAAGAAAAGCAAAGTAAAACAAATCATACATTACTTTTAAACTTTTACTTTTAAACTCTGAGGATCTTAATAATAAATGGTAAAAAAAAAGCCATGTGGAGAAAACAAGAATAACGATGCGATGCAGAAATTCTCTGCCAGGCTTTTCATTCACTTTTCCTCTTCTCCCATCCACATACCACAGTTCTTTTCTCTTCAACCTGCAACTGATACATCGTAATCCAAATCCTTATTGCTTATTATATTTTTTGCACAGAATGCACAGATTCAAAAAATATGTCCTATCTTTTTATAAGATATAGCATCGCATTTTATGGCTTCTATCGAACTAAAATTCATAGTTTTTCTATTATTCTTGCAAAATGGCGCCTCGATAGTATAAATTGTGCTTTTATCAAAAGATTCAGAAATTCAAAAAGTTTGCTTTCAGGAAGATATCGCAGTCGACGATCGAAATTGGAGCGTGCCTGCTATACCAGAAATTTCTCATATTTCCATACAAATTCATCTTTTATTTCGAAAAATTATTTTGAAATTAGAATCAAAAAGGGCTTTTACATTTAATTTTGAAACTTTTAAATATTATTTTTTAACTTTTTTTACCAATAACTGTGGAAAAAATTTATCAAACATCAGACCATTTGAAGAAAAGAGGAAAGGAAAAATACGTCAAGAGGAATCAATCAGTTAACCACAATTAATCGAAAACAAAGAAAATTTGTTCAAAATTTTTCGTAATTTTTTCGAGGAAAGAAAAATTTACCATTTATAAAATTTCTTTCATCTTTTTCTAATGATTTACGGATCCTCGAAATTTGTCATTCGTTAAGCTTTTTTTCTTTTTTAATTCATTTTTATATTTCTATGAAATTTCTTTGATAAATTTATAAATTCTCATATCTTTTCAAATGTTTGTAGATCACTTTTTATGAATTTATTTTTTGCTTTGGATTTATTTGAAGAATTTATTTATTCATTTACTTAAAAAAGGCAATGTTAAGCATATCAACTATGCATATTATTCATTCATATTATTTTATGAATGAACGATTTGTATAATTTCCAATTTCACTCGAAGTTTTATTATCATTTTCGTGGACATTTATGAACATATTTTGTGCTCATATTCTCAGTTATATTCCACTTCCATAGGTAAAGATGAGAACGAAAAAAAAAATTCGCAAAAAAACCACTAAAAGATTTACGATGCGTAAAGATGAAAAATGAAATATAATGAGAAATTAATCATCCAAAATGGTACTCATTTTTTTGATGAATCAATACTGTTACGTTTTGTATAGAATGAATGTTTTTAGTTATAAAAGATTGGCTAATAAAATATTTCTCAAAGTAAGTGTTCTTATAAATAAAAAAAAAAGCAATTTATATTGATGAACGATATATCAAAAAGTAACCATCGTAGCGAACATTTTTGCATGAAACAATGACATTAGCGGTTCTTTATTTTATTTCTTTCTGTTTTAAAAATATTGTATTATATAAATTACGATTTTTCTCAAATATTTTTTAAAATATTTTTCTTATTTCTCAATTATCAAATAATTCTTAACTGATAAAATCATTTTATATAATTACAAAAATCTTGAATTGTCAATTTAAAATTAAATTATCTAAAATCAATCAATTAAAGTTTTGCAAGTTGAGATTTTAGTTTGATTTAAATTTGTGGTGGATGTGGTACGTAAAACGAAAGTTATAGCTTCGATTTCGAAGGATGCTGGACACATTGATAAACTCTACTCTTATTCGCCATCATTCCATTTTCTATTTTTATTGAAACAAAAATTACCGACATAGGAAATAGCTTAAATCGTAATGGAATGTTGCTAATCAGTTTATTGATATATTTATTAGATAATGCTGTTGTCCTAAAATTATAATCTCCTTAGATCACCTAGCTACAATTAACTGAATCACTGGACAAATTTTGTGAATCCTATTAGAATCTATAATACATTTTTTTATTTCCTATTTTATATCTATTTGATTTTAAAAAAACAACTTTTTTTTAGAGTTTACTTAGAAAATTTTGAAATTCTATAGAATATTATATAAAAATATTACGAGAACAAAAATAAGCATACCGGTTGGTAATAAATTATCGTTTAGATGTTTGCTTGTTTAATTTTTTGAATTATTTCAAACTAAAGAAAAAAGTTGATTTTTTGAAATTTCATTTAAAATGGATGAGAGAATCTGCATTATTATATTGGTAATGTTTAACATTACCAATACATTAAACGAATATCTACGATGCTTATCAAATTTAAATGATAATGGTTATATTCATATTGACTGTTCTAATCAACGATTTAAGGTTGGATGATTTTGCTCATATAAAAGTTTTTTCCTCGCTTAATCACTGGTCATGAATCGTTTTATTTCATAACGAATTACTCTACAAATACTTCACATAAAAAATTCTTTAGCATATTTTTGCCAAAAACTTGCTTATTCACAATAATTTTCTATTTCAATTTCAATTCAAAATTTAGAAATGATTATAATGGGAAAATCTGCTTATCAACTGATATAAACATATCAGATTTTATCGTAATGAAAAAGCAATGTTTTGCTATTTAAACTTTCATATTTCACTTGAAATGAAAGTAAAAGTAATAGCGGGCGTGTGATACATGAAAAATTGACAGAGAATCTCATTTTTCTCTCATTCTGCTAAAGGAAAAGTCTTTCAAAATTTAAACTTTGAAGTTTCGAAAACTTTTTTTACGCTTTAAGTAATGAAACGAAATTGCAGCAAATTTCATCAGTTGCTCGTTTGGATGCTCCAACCTATGATTTTATGCCAAATACTATTAGTGGAAATGTGATTTCATTAAATTTAAGTGCAAATGAATTTACAGTAATAAACTCAAATTCTTTCGCAACTTTAAGGCATCCGGAAATACTTGAATCACTGTTTGTTTGTTTCTTCAGACTGTTTCTTTCCTTGTTTGCTTAAAGCTGCAATCCTTGAAATTTTTCAGGAAATTTTTCTCAGCTTAATTCGATTTCAGCTTCGTTTTTGCTTGCTATATTAATAAAATTTTGATATTTTTAGTCGACAAACATATATAATGGATTGAAATTTGGCTTGTAAAATAATGAAAATTGAAAATTATTATTGCATGAAAAAAATCTTTTATGAAGATATTTAAAAAAATTATACGAAAATCTTGCAAAAGTTTCAGTTCCATTTTATTCTTTCAGGGATTTATCACGTAATAAATTATTTTTTATCGCTGGATCTGCTTTCAAATCGTTAACAAATTTAAAATATTTGTAATAGTTTTTAAATTAAATTTCTTCATGCATAATATTTTTATAAACGAATTCAAAAAGTATTTCAGAAGGAAGAAAATTTATTAAAATCCTATAAATTCTATTAAAAATGAAAGTTAATTATTTTCAAAAATAATTTTTATAACATTCACTTTTGAAAGAAACCAAACCAATTCAATTAATTAATTTTATAACTTTTTTAATAGTTGTGAATAATAATAAGAAATTTCACCTTAAAACAATAATGAAAAATTTCAATAAGAGAAGCAAAAAAATTAGAATAAGAAAATTAAAATTAAATTTCAGAGATCTAAGTTCGAATAATTTGCATACGATAAACCGTTTATCATTTGTTGACCTCGAAAATCTCGAATTTCTTAACCTAAATCATAACTATTTCTCATCGTTTCCCGACCGAACCTTTTCATCACTCAATAAATTGAAATTTATCAGTATTGCCTCAAATCAAATGATATGTGATTGTCAGTTGACAGATTTTCTTAAATTTATTAATAAGGTTTGTTATTAATAAAGCTTTATCCATTCATAATTTATTCGATCGCCTCTTTAGTTTGATTTTTTATTAAATATTAAGGAAATTCCCATAGAAGTTTCGAATGAAACTGTTTGCATTTTTCCGAAATCACTGAGAAACCAACAAATATCCGCGATAAAAGCAAAATCACTGAAGCGAACTTGTGGAAAAGGTTATTTTTAAAATATTGTTGAAAAAATTTTAAATTTCAAATATAACTCCACATTTAAATCATTACAATATTAATATTTTTATGTATAAAGAAATCTTTTTTATTTTATTGAATCCTTTGGGCATATTAAATTCATATTTTAATTTTAATCATTTTTAATCTCTTTTTATTCTAAAAAAAAGAATAATAAATTTATTTGATCTGAAAAAAAGTGGTAATTTTAAAAAAGATGATTTAGGTGATTTTAATCCAAAAATATTCTCCATCGAACCACCTCCACAGTCATTAATCGTTTATCCCGGCGAAAAGCGACAAATTACATGCAAAGTATCGAATATTAAAGGATTATCAATGGAATGGTTAAAAAATGATATACCTATTCAAAGAACTTCGCGATTATTTATCAATGCATCTATAGAAAATAATATTCAGTAATCGCATCATTTTTTCTAAATTTCAATAGCATTCAATTGTTAATCGCCATAATTATAAGGGATTTTTTTTAAGGTCATTGACACTTTCATTAAATCCCATTTTATGGGAAGACGAAGGCGATTGGACGTGCTATATTGAATTGCAAGACGCTAGTTTGAGAAAAGTGATTCGTTTAATGCCTATATCAATACATACTGAAAAATGTGTGCAAGTAATTCAATTTTTAAATTTTCTATCCATAAAAAATTTTTACGAACTATGTGGTTTCATGAATTCTCAGTTTTCGGTGAAATCTTTTTATTGCTATAATCTTTTTCATCATTTTAAATCTAAGTTTTTATTGATGTTACATATATGTAGCGAATTTCTGGGAATTTCCTCAGTTCCTTCTTCTCCTAATAGCTATCACCATTGCTGGTTAAGTTGGCTCAGCTGGCTGCAACGATAAGATGTCTTCAAGCTGCTCGGTTTAACGCCATCACTAGTAGCAATAGAAGCCATTCATTTTTCCATCGTATAAGTCCATATATCGCTGGTCGCCCTATGCTGACAACTGACTGCATTAGTCCAGGTCTTGATTGGCCCGACTCTCTTCTGACGCAGTCATAAGGATCGGCAAATAGTGAAATATGCATCAATCTCTGTGTTTGGTCACAGAGAACGTGCCCTAACCAGCGAGGGGCCTGCGTATAACATCATTAATATTTGAGTGAAGATGGATACAATTATGTGCGATTTTATCCACCCGATAGATCCGCATTTTCCAGTTTTCATAAATAATTTTCAATTCTACGCTGGATTTTTGAATTTTCAATAGATTCAAATTTTTAAAATAAAATAAATTTGGCTTGATTTGCCTGGATTTAATTAATATAATTTTTAAAATGGAAAATTATTTTAACCGCTAAATTATACGAGAACTGCGTCACACGTCATTTTTATGGTATTTTTCAATGGTATTTCACAAACAATAACTGAAAAAGTGAATATTCTTAGGAGTGGCAGGCAAATGAGAAAGGTGAAGTAACATGGCCAGTTTCTGAACGAGGCATTGTTTCTATGAATTGTCCAAATGGTCCGTCGAATGCCAAGGTTTACCGAGAATGCAAACAAGGAAAATGGGGTGAAATTAATTCAAATGAATGTGCCTTTGCATCATCATTAACAAAGCAACTTCTCATGCTTATATCAAATCAAAAAAGATCAACGGTAAATCATGAAAAATTTACGCTATAAAGATCTCTTTCTAACAAAAAAAGATCGATTTTGGTTGATAAAATAAATCAGGTTTTAATCACTTTTTACTTATTAAATTATCGAAAAATGTTTCAAATTAGCCCTTTTTTTTCAGTATTTATTAAATTTTTTGAACATAACAACGTCTCTGTCATCACTGAAATATAAATTATCAGCTTATGAAACGCGATTAGTTGGATGGATTATTGGAAATGCTACTCATTTTAGCAATGCAAATATGCTTAATGCTATATCATTTGTGTTGGATTCCAGCTATACGCGGTCTGAAATCAGTGGTTCGTCATTAATAAGATTATAAAATCAAATGAATCTATTCAGCAATAAATATTGACTGTTCGCTTTCATTGTTGTTAAATTAATTAGGAAATTTAGTACGAAATGGGAGTGAAAACTAAACTTTCAAATTTTTGAACAAAACCTAAATAAAGCCTATCGAACTAAAATAAAATATAGTGTATAAATACTGGTAAAGATTTCGATTAAAATTTTTTTTTTCTAAAAATTTTTTATTAAAATTTTTTAACTAAAATTTTTCAGGTGAAATGTTAAGAGCGCACATTGAAAATATTATGTTCACTGAAAAAGCAATTTATTTTAAGAATATTGCTGTATGTCAGTCGATGTTAATCTCTGCTTTTGACATGTTGGATTATAGTTCAAATGAAAAATTAAATATTGGATTTATTTCGGGTTATTACGCAGATGAGTACTTTTGTCAAAAACGAAATGCTGTAGAATTTCTTACAGCCAATGGTTTTATTTTCATATCTGATTTTGCAATTTATTATTTGCTAATATTTCCTCGATTTTTCTTGAGGAAGGATTATAGTTATGTGGAAAATAGTAATAAAAAATAAATAATTTAATTTAATAAATTAATTAATTAAAATAAGAAATAGAAAATTTTTTAGGAATGTCCTCTGTCCGCGTACCCCACGCAACGTTTGAGCTATTTTCGTCAACAGCAATTCTCCGAGTTTTTTGGTTAAAAACAACAAATATTTTCAATAATATTTATTCGATTGATGGTAAATGGATTGTTACTGGTGATGTTCATGCTATTGCTTTGAAAAAAATAAATTTAAGACTTTCTTATGCAGCGCCTCCATCTGGCTTTGTCAGTATTTTGTTATTTTTTTAATTTTTTGTATATATATATATATATAAAGTGGATAAAAAGGTATTTGCTCAGCCTTATAAATGAGATTAATATTTTTAGAGCGAAGCTGATAATAATGATGGAATCTCTCCAGCAATATATTTCACCTTTCTAGTACGGATTCCACTTAAGCAGGTTTTTTTTTAAATCTAGCTTTTTTTTAGTTTCTCGAAATTAGAAATTTGCGCAACGGGCTAAGTGAGATAAATAAAATATATGAATAAAAAAATAAATAATAAATATACGTAGCAAAAACTCGATAAAATTGATCGAATTTCAGCTGCGATTCGCATTTTATGCAAAAAATTGTTGGAACATAGTGAATTCAACTGATTGCAGTTATCATCGAGTTAGCCCAACATATATCCTTATAACATGTAACCGTAAATTCCTTATATTCGTTTTAAAAGAAAATCTTACATATTTTGCTGTTGCAAGGAACGCTTCGTTTATTAGCAGGTACATATGAATTAATATACAAATTAATATTAATATTTTTTTGAGCGGTCGTTTTTCTATTTCGCTCTACTACGCTATTTCTGGAACATCAAAATTTTCTATAACAATTAAATTTTTTAAAATTTTTAAAAGTCTTAAAGCGAAGAATTAAAATAAATTATAATTATAAATTAAATAAATTTTATAAATCAAATAATATATATATTTTATATTTTATACATATTTAACAATTTTTTTTTTTGCTTTTTTTTTATATTTTCTATTTTATATTATTTTTCATCGCTTCTTAAGTTTTGCTTTCCATATACTTGTCTTTATTATCCTTGTCTTTGACAGGAGTGAGCCTGTCATGATATCAAAAAACCGAGTGCTGCGGATACATCTTAATTCTATGTCTCCGAACGACAATGATCAATTCAACACTAGGATATACAAGTAGGAAATGCGCTAGTCAGAAGAAAGCAACTGTCCAACTGTCCGAAAAGGCTGACAAAGCATGATAGTCAGAAGATGACTATTAGCTGCTCCGAAGAATTATAACAGCAGCCCAGCGGACAAAATCGCTATTGGAGCAATATGGCCCTCAAAATAAAAATAGAAGCTCGATTAGGCGATAATAGGAAACCTTTTTGCTTTTTTCATAAAGAAATTATAACTCAACGAATGGTCGGTGAAATGATATAAATTAGTAATTTGTCTGATAGAGATCGTTTTATAAGGTAGAAGGAATTCTTTCAGGCCAAACTTAACTCGTTGTTGATGCTCTTGTCCCATATATTGCTGAAACCGCTCGTCCATTTTCTAAATGCTAATCGCCAGCAGAACAGAAAATAATTTCTATCATCCAGAACCTTGAGGCCAATAAGAACACTAGAGAAAATGGTTTCCAGATTGAACTTTTCAAATATTGCCTGTGTCCTTTCTAATCTTCAACCTTCAACATTTGTATTCTCTGATATGGAAATAATATCAGATGACTGGAGCAAAGCAATTTTGCTTTCAATTCGCAATAAAAATAGTTGTTTTTTGCTCCTCTTGTATTCAGCAGACTTATGCTAGAACAGAATAGCACAATGTGCCCTAGCCAAGCTACATAAAGACCGATAGTGTTGGCTAAGTATTTACTGTCAAGACAGACAAGAAAGACTTTGAGCGCATAGGGGGAGCAGCGATATATGGACTTAGACGATGAAAAAAGGAATGGCTTCTATTACTGTCGATGGCATCAGATTTTGCAACTCGGAAACAGTTATAGCCAGTTCAGCCAGCCTAATCGGTAATGGTGAGAGCTATCAGAAAAAAAAAGAAAAGAAAGTATATGTGACATTACAATTTTCCAATGGCTTGTAAAAAAAAACTTCGCAACATCATTTTCCTTCAGATCTTATTGATATATGGTAGCATAAATTCTCTACTGTGAGCAAAATATATGAAAATTGGCCGATTCCTGCAGTAAAGAAATTAATGAATTATACAAATATTCCAAAATAATGTGCAAATGTGCACTGAAATTTACACATCAACAAGGAAATTTTATAAAATTCATTTTTTACATGATTATTCGTCCAAAATATAAAAATTACTTATGAACTACTTTTGCTTTAAACCTTTAAATTATCACGAATAGTATTTATAAAGCGCTAAATCTGAATAATGCAGACTCACAGAAAGAAAATCCCTGTTGAAAATACCTTGGTGGATGTATGCTTCAAGTGGTTTCCTGTCATCCTCGCTACTTTTAATGATTTTCATAAATGCCTATTGTTGCAGGTATTTTAATTAACTTTATTTATTACCTCAAAAGATACCAAATGTTTTCTATATCCTCTAAAATTTTTATATTTTTCTCTTTTTTTAATAAAAAAAACAATAACCATAATTCAATCGGTTTAGTGGGTTTAAAAAAAAAAAAAAAAGTACATAATTATTACAGTTTATAATATAAAATTTTATTTGAAATTTTGAAGAGAATAAGTTGAAAAACTTATCAGATTGTAGTTGCAATTTTAGCTAAAACTTTGCTCATATAACAAATTTGAAAATTTGGTTTAAGAAACGTTAATATTTTTAGATTAAAACAAAGAATATCTCAGTTATATTTTCATGCATTGCTAAATATTTACTCGTCCATAATATTTCTAACATTCATTTTTATATTTGGCATAAATAAAGTGAATAATATAAAATATTGCCAAATAACTGCTATATCAATACAATATTTTATCCTCGTGACAATTTATTGGATCATGTTAGCTATAAGGTTTAATCCTTTTCATCCTTCCTTCAATCATTTACTTTTTAATTTTATTTTATGTCATTTATGTATTTTTGGAAGTGTATATTTTTCTTGGATTCCACAAATTTTCAAAATATTTATAAAAATAAAATTTTGCGTGAAAATCAGATAGTTTTTTCAAATTCATTACTAATTAAGCAATTACTAATTACTAATTAAAAATAATTAATTAGTGAGCACTCATCGTTTTTGATTTAGTTAGTTCCACTGGTTGTTATTTCGATGAGAAATTTTTGTTAGGGAGTCACCTAGCGACAAAATTATGAGTGCATCCTTAGCATCATTCGGTTTTTTTAGTGATAGGCCTACTTCTATAGAGTTGTAATTCTACCATTCGGCTATTCTGCCTTTACCAGTGCTATAGGTTAATGAAATCATTTGCTTGTAAATCAAAAATTTTTAAGGTCATTGCGAATAAGGACCGCTGAAATCGCGAAAGATAACGAAAAACATGAATTTAGCTTGGAGAGAACATTTGAAATTGTAAGTTAGTTAACATTAACAACTGATTAAAGAAATTAATCAAGAAAAATCCATTAAGAAAGAAACTTCAATTCATAATTCAACTAAAATTGCTTCTTTCAAAAGTTTATATAAAAGAATTTGAACGAAGTATTTGAGAATGTTGTTCAGGTACCGCCATCTCATGGGACAATCGTTGCTTATTATTTTTTGGCATATGGTGCGCCACTGTTTGCGACTTCATTTACATTAAGCATAATATCAGATCCAAGCTTGGAAATAGTGACAATGTTTATTGCATTTTTTCTTTTTTCAGATTCCATAAAAATAGTTTTTTAGTTATGCAAATATATTTATAATTTTTCCCTTCTCACCTCTTGTGAGTGGAATAAATCATTCCGAATGGATGCTCTAACAGATCGGGGTAAGACAGATTTCAGCTTTCAGAGAACCTTAACCAAGTATCCTCACCTGAAAAGGAAAGAGAACTGACTGCAATTCGAACTATTGTTGTTATACTCCATAATTATCACCAGTCCTTATCACTATACTATTTCGGCACCTTTTTATATATATTAATAATAATTATCAAAGAAATAAAAATATCATCATTCGAAAAAGAATTTAATAAAATTTTTTAGCCAAGAATTACGAAAGCACCCATTGCTATTTAATTTTATTGTTCGAAATATGCTTTAAGCCAACTGGTTGAAAAAAAAATAAAAATTGTTATAATTTTCCAGTTGTCTTCCGACAATAATATTAAAATTGGATCATCTTATATTCAGTTTAGTGCTACCAGTTTTTATATCACTCAGCATATCATTCGTGCTTTATATTACAACGATGTGCGAATTATCGCGAATTAATAATTTCTATTTCAGGAAGTATATTAATAGTGTCTCAGGTTAATTGCTTTTTTTTTTACAAAAGTTCCTTATTTTATTTCTTAAGAATATTTTCATATTGACTATAACAGAAAACACAATAATAATTTGGTAAGGAAGTGTTGAAACCTGTCCAAAAATCCGGGTGATGCTGGCGACTCACCTGTATTTCCATCGCCAAGGGTCTCCCTGGCATATTGCTCAATGCGACAAGCCAGTGGAGCGAGTTTAACCAGTGATGGTGAAGACTCTTTACAAGGAAGCGTATGAAAATCGCACGATGTGGCTTCTTTAAATTGCCCATCAATTTGCTACCATGCGGAATTTTTATACTTTCATTGTAGCAACTTATCACTCACAAAAATTAATAAAAAAAAATAGTAGTAGTTACGTCAACCCAAATACAAAATATCTTTGCGACATAGTTCGATAATTATATGTTGTAAGATCTTTATATTAAGTATAATAAGTATAATGATAATTATATATTTATAATCATAATTCTTTAATTAATAATAATTTCTCCGGATCTATCAGGTTTATTTAATCGAAATTACAATGTTCTCCTTGCGAAACAGAATCATTCATCTGGAATTGAGATAGGTTGAGTGACAATGGCAATGATAAGGAGTGATAATGTTCTATCCTTATCGAACTGAATTAGCTAGGCACTCTCTAACTTTTTTGAAAGTTATTGAAATTTAAATCATTCCGTTTAAAATTAATCTTCATGCTTCTGCAGCCATGCAAACCCTTTTCCTGGAAGTGTTCTTATTCAGTCATCTTTTCTGACCTGTCAACTTTGGAAGACCTAGGAGAGGGAAAAAGGGAAAACGGGCAGAAATCGCTTAAATTTTCACTCTTTTAAATCCGGTTTT